TTAACACAAGAGTCTAGATAACTTGGCAGTTTGCATTGCTTCGCAACAGCCATTCTCTAAAGGTGCGTTTGGTTCAGCATTTTGAAAGCCCTTTGGGACCTGAAAGCCCCTTGGGGAAAATTTGGGGTATTTGGCGATCATTCCCCAAGGGGCCTTGGGGTGAAAGCTGGCCTTGGGAAGGTTGAAAGCTCAATGTTGATCCCTATTAAGGGGGTGTTTTGTTCAGCTTTGGGAAATGACTTTCGGGGCTCAAAGCCCCTTCCCAAAATGCTGGATTGTTTGGTTCAGTATTTGGCCTAGCATTGGCCAAATGTTAAACCAAAATTTTTATCCCCAAACTACCCTTAGTTATTTTAGCTTATTTGCCTTTTTTTTTCTGTTCAAGTTGTTCTTCACAGGTGGTCGGCGAGGGGCGGCGTACGAGGGTGGCCTGGATCGGGTCGAGAAGAGGCCGGAGCGACCCTCTGCGAGGGTCACGGGACATCCAGGCGGCGCGCCCGGGTCGCGTGACCTCGGGCGACGCCGGGTCGCGCGACCTCAGGCCGCCGCCGCCCGAGGTCGCGCGACCCCGCCGAGGTCACCGTCGCCCGGGTCGCGCGACTCGGCGGGCGGCGGTCCGCGACCTCGTCGCTCGGGTCGCCTCACCTCGCAACGGGCCGCCCCAGACTCGCCCAGCCGACGGGCACGCCAGGCAACGCACGGCCCAGAGCTCCGCGATGGTAGGTTTTGTTTTTTTTTTTTTAATAAATAAAATAATTCTCAAAGTCCATTTGCAAAATAAAATTCACCAAACACAATATTTTGGCCAAAGTAGCTTTACAAAATATTTTTACCAAACACCATTTACATTTCCCCAATGGACTTTCACCCAAAAGTATTTGCATTCCCTCAAGTAGCATTTTCAAAGTTGAACCAAACGGGCCCTAAAAGTATTGAGCTTTCAGCATTTTCGGAATGCTGGACCCTTTATTAATGAAATTTTGTCAAGTTCTTTTTTTTGCCCTCAAACACTCATTAGAAATCCAAATTTACCCCTTTTAAAAAAACAAAACCTAATTTCCTCCCTGCAACCCCTGGCGTCTCTTCTCGCGTCTGCTCCAAACCTTGGTGTCTGCTTCCTCTCCCTCGCATATGTTGTCTCGCTCAACGGCGCTCGCTCAACCGAGCGACCGCGCTTCTTCGCTCGGTCTCTCCCTCGTGTCTGCTCATCTACAGGTTCAATCTCTCCTTCACCTCGTTTTGGATTTTCTTTTTCGCCTTTTTTTGGGGTTATTTTGCTTGCTTTTGGGTGTTGCTGATTGTGCCCTCTTGATTTTGTGCTTGGACTAAGTGATTGTTGGAAATTTCGACCTGCATGTGGCTTATACCACTGGATCAGCACTGTTGTTTGGCTCGGCTGCAAGTATTTGGTGTGATGGGTTGCTGGTTCTTCGCTTTTTTTGTTGTCGGAGTTGGACTGGACTTTTTGGTTGTGGTTTCAAGAATTGGACTTGCATAGGATGATTTTATGTATTGCGATGAAGAATTTATTTTTGTTTGTCCTGTTTTGAGTAGACACTGTGAGAGATCACGAATGGTCAATTGTTGATTGCGGTGGATCTGTCCCAATTGAATGTGAGGAGGGGGAAGTTAACTGATTGGTTGATGTCGATTGCGATTGTATCTTAGGTCCTTTGAGATTGTTATTTGTGTGTTAACTTGATTGATGCTCTTCCATTATTTCCCTTGGAAGAACTAGTCAAATTAATTAGGCCTATCCCATTTTCCTTCAAAAGGTTGTGTGCAAATAGTGACATTTTTCTGCAGGTATCTTGGATTTAAGAGAATTGTTCCATTAGATTGTAAAAGGCTTGTGGAAATTCTGGATTTGCATCAGATTGGGACACTTTCACAGAATAATTTTGAAGTTGATGTACATTTGGCACATGAGAAGAAGATGGCACAGCCAAGTCATCGTAGAGTTATTGTCGATAAACCCAAGGAGGAGGATTACTTCTACGCAAATCCTCTAGAGTGCCTTTGTGAGCAGCCTAACTGTGATGATTTACAAGGCCCGGGCAAGAGGAACTCCAGTGAAGTCTCTAGTTGATTGCCGGCAATGATAAACTATCGTCATCTGAACATGGGCTTGAGATTCAAGTTGATCTCTCCAAAAGTTGCAGCGCACGATACAGCTGCTTTATTTTTCCTTACAGAGACGTTCTTGAATTCGATGCACGAGCTACTCCACTTTCGTCATCGTGAATGGGTTTTTGTTTGTTCATGATAACAGGCCAACAAGAAGCAGCAAGCAAAGAATTCTTGCCTTCCTTTTAGGGCAGCTGCAAAGATAAATTTATCATTTTTTCTTGTCCATAGTTAACGATTGTAATATGTTGAGAAGTCACTGAAAACGATTGTACATTTTGCTCTTCTTGTGATAACGCAGAATGAAAGCTTATTTTGGTTCATGTCTATTATTTTGGTTGGTTGGGTAAGGATCGTTTAAGATGATGACTTGAGAGGCATCTGCAATTCATTTTAATTTTGGTTCAGCTACAGAGATCGTTTCTTCTGGCAAAGCAGTGCCATGATGTATACAAACGTAAGACTGGAGAAGTTTGGTTCTTTGCCTACTCAATGAAAATTGGCTAATCTAATACAAATCCCCGTAATTTCTTTATTCCGTCATAACTTCATATGAATTGGAACTTGCTCGCCAAAGTAAGGTACACAAATTGCCGATGATTTAAATGAGGGTAGTGCTTCAAATGATGCCTGGCATGGCACGTTTATGTCATTAAACAGCTATAAGTTTAAAAAATATTTAATGATGTTTGTAATTTTTAAGGATAATGAATTTCTATCCTCAGGGCATATGTTACCACATTTATTATAATGAAAGTATTGTTTTTTTAATTGAGAAAGTGACCACTTTGACGTGAATTTTTTCCATTTGATTTTTTCTATAAAAAAAGAAATTTTATTTTTTTAATAAAATTGTTTCCGCTATAACTTTAACATTATTGTCAAAATTTAAATTAAGAAAGTTGCAGAAATTATTTTTTTTCAATTTTAAACACATAAAAATTAAAAAACTTAAATTAATCACCCATATGGGCTTTGCAAATGTGTTTTCTATCAAACGGCATTTCTCTCAAAGCTGCTTCTCAAAGGACATTTTACCAAACAAATCTTTGCATTTCCCTAAAGCCCTTTAGGCTAAACTGCTTTGCATTTCCCTAAAGCTCATTGAGAAAGCTGAACCAAATGCAGCCTAAATCCAATTCCCCACATTTTCACTATGATGAACATTCTCATTTCTCCCAGTTCCTCATATACTTCGATCTTGACGAGAGCCGGAGATGTCGTGATTATGAACCAACTTTATAATCTGTACAGAAGAAGATGTAGACCCATGTTTAATTTTACTTGCAAGACTTGTCCGGCGGACCAAACCAAAGCTGCAATGCGGCGACCCATCTGATCTCCTGTGACCCCCCTCCTCCATTCACATCTATAACCATGCTTGACTATCCGCTGGCAGTGGAGCCAGTTGCTGCCTCATAATCCCATTCAAATCCGTGCGCATTTTCTTGAAGCCTCTCAGACAGGAGCTCACACCCATGTACTTCGATAATCATTCTGTTCTTAGTGCAATGAATGTGCTTTTAAATCCGTTACATGATAATACAGGTGCCACATCATCGCTAATCTTATCCTTAAAAGGGCTAAGCTCGTGTGTGTGATTAAGATAGGCTCATGTTGACTTGATTATAACGTGGGCCAATCATTAATCCACTGTCGTCCTCCCAAGATCTGTTGGGCATTCCTTAATTCCCATTGTGACCCAGCAATTGGCCAGCTAAGTCCGATCGAGTCTCTCCTTAATCATCTCTCTCTTGAAACGTGTAGTCACCGTACGAAAAGAATCCAATCGAACTTCAGCTTACGGCATATTCGCGTGTCATATCCTCTAGCTCGCAAAAGCTTGCTTTAGGGTGTGTATAAAAAGAATGTATTTACATTAGCAGTTTGGGGCTTTTAGGCCATGGTATCATGAATAAGGGCATCTAGGCAAGGCCATGGTATCATGAATAAGGGCATCTAGGCAAAGAGCAATTCATAGTTATAAAAGCAATAAAGTTAGCCAAGTTAAAGCTCATTGATGCAGGAGTCCTATCTGCTAGAGAGAGAGAGAGAGAGAGAGAGAGATATGACCGTGGGAATTCAAAGTTACTCATGTGGTGTCAACCTTTTGTTCTTCTTTAAGTGGCATATTCTCTGAAGGGGGTCGGCAAAAAACTTCAAGAAGAAGACAAGTAATTTGGTGCATCCTCACATAAAGCAAACCTTAGATCAATCCACTAGCAGAAAAATAGCTAATTACCACCAAGTTTTTACAGCAAAGAGAAACGAAAAAGCACTAGTTCACGTACTTTGAGGACCGAAAAGGATTATATGATCATATCCCTTTGGACTCCAAAGCCATTAAAAGAAGAAGCAAAGACGATGCAAGGTGAAAAGGACCCCCATCAATTATTTCCTCTTTTGATTTTCAGAAGCCAAAAAGCCCTAGCTTTTCCATATGGATTCTCATTCTCTGGTCCATGGTCGGTGTTACGTGGTGTTCCCTTAGCGGTCCGAACCTTTTTACACCTATGAACTCTCCCACTTTGCGAAATTCTCATGCCTCCCTCCTAAGCATATACCATGCGCCCAAAACCAAAGTCAATTTACTTATTCTGCTAAATTGAACAAAGTAAACCCCATATAATATCTCGAGCTGGACAACGACTTACTTGTTCTAACCAAAAAAATTAGTGAGAGATGTGGTGTACGTAGCTCATGCTACATCATCATCTACTTTTTGTTCAGGAAAAAAGAAGAAGAAAAAGATGTTATGCATCTAGCGGAATCGTTTTAAGAAAGACCCCAGTTCATTCTAGAAAGAATACTTTAGTCACTAGAAACTTTCTTTTAATCTCTCGTCATGCTGCTCATATAAAAGCTTCATCAGCACACCCATTTCTTTATTCAAGATACTCTCTCTCTCTAGGGATGGCTCGTTATTACCGCAACAATTTCTCTTACTTATTAGATCACTTCTCTTTCCCTCTCCACCTGTGCTTCTTCGTCCTCGTCCTCTTCCTCGTACTGGGTTTCTCGTGGTACGTCAACTATGAGTACATGGTCGAGGACTTGGTCACTCAGGTGAAGCTATTCCTCATGCTTTGCCCTCTCGTCCTCCTCCTGGTCGTCCACTTCTTATCGGCCGAAGACTGGCGCCGGGTCCCGCTGATAGTTTCTCTGCCGGAGAAGGAGTCATTTCACCGGGCCGGGGGATCGCCGTGGGGTGTCGCTCTCCTCCTCGTGTTTCTCCTCTTCATGATCTCACGTCAGTCTTCTTTCCACGAGCGATGGTTTCCCTTGGTGACTAGACGATCATGAGGCATAAATTAGATGTGTTACATTGTTAGCTACCTGAAGAAGTTGATGGAACTGATCAGATTTGATGTATGTATACTATGCATATATGTATAAATTGAACTCCGATCTTTCCACTGTTTTTGTTCAAGATGATATTGAGTCGCTTTACTAAATCAGATTTATTGTGCTCATAACAGGGACTACTTGGTCCTGAAATCATATATTTCAACTTTTCATCTCTAATTTTAGATGGATCTTGATGAATACAAATGACCTTGAAAGTTAAAAACTTCGTTGATCAAGAAGCAAAATTTCCTCATGATACAGACCGGTATTGAGCGTCTTTAGTCGGATAACCACGAAACGTTGTGCGTCGATGCGTCGATGCATCTAGCTTTGACACACCTCTTTTGTTAGGGGTGTTACCAAAATTATTTCCAAACTATATCCAATGTAAGGGACGCGACCCGGGATCGAATCCTGGGAATTGGAAAGAGGAACGTAATCTACAGTAGGAATCTGTAGACTCAGAAAGATTAACATTAATTTCAGGGGAATAAAAAAGAAGAAATAGAGGGAATATATCAATGTCATAAGCTGCCATCAAAGAAAAGTCAAGACAATACAGGAAAGGCGACATTACATTGGGGGGTAATAGAGCAGAAGCAGTACCCTTCAAATGTCAGTATCTTATTGCAGTGCACGTGAGTCATCGGTCACTTTAGCAGGCCCACGGCCCTGCATACGAAGCTCAGACCAGAAGAAAGAAGTGGAAAAATATGTGTCTGCCTATTCTTCCAATACTACAAGTTGGACTTCATAGATTCAACTTCAACTGCTCTGCAATGTTGGTCTGTCTTTAACGTGATGGGTTACTTGCATTTACCAACTCTATAACTTGATTATGAATTGAAGCAAACTATCAACGTTCAATATAGCCATCTTTTCCTGGCCAAAAGAAAAATATAACCATCAGGGACTACATCCTAATCCCACCTCCAATCTGTGTGTTTGACTGTGCGTGCGTGCGTGCGTGAGAGAGAGAGAGAGAGAGAGAGAGAGAGAGAGAGAGAGAGAGAGAGATTCTCCAACATTTCCGGAATCCATATTCTCTTCTGCTTAACATTTCACTTTGCACATGAGAACACCATCCGTCAACAAAAACAAACATCAGACCAGGTTCTTATTAAGCTAAAATACGCACACACTTCTTCTGCTAATACATGCATATCCTAGCATAGCAGAGTCTCATGAGCTCCTTGACTAATTAATATACCAACTCGTCCTACGCTCAAGAGCTTAGAGAGTTGGTTTAGTACATTAAAAGATGAGACCATGCAGGGAAGGTTGGTAGGTTATGAGAAATAAAAGAAGCAGGAGAACTAAAGCTACGCCCCAAGGCGAGCCTCCGGCTCGATGGATGGCCCCAGGCTCGGACCCTGGCAGTGGCAAGCTCAGGTGGCTGCCTGCTGAGAGCCAGTGGACCGTGATAACCAGAAGCAAAGGGGAAATCACCAGTAAACGCTGCAGTAGCTCGGAGGCTGTGGCCATGACCGCATCGTAAACTACGTAACCCAAGATTCCACCGACGACTATGGTGGCTGCTGTGAGGAACCACTGATCTGATAAGTTGAAACCTGCAATGCTGGATCGGGTGGCCCAAGCCATGAGTCTACCTGGGAGGGTTGATGGTGAAGGGATGAATGAATTCTGGGTAGGCACTACACACTAGACAATGGGAAGTGGGCACCTGTTTTATTTATTTAGCAGGGGTTGTGTCCTTTTTCTGGTAGGAGGAAAAAATAATTGAGCCTGTGTTCTTCCGACTTTTGTCCCGTTATGTTAAAGACTGACTCAGCACTGTCACATAAGTCGCCTAGTGAGAGATTTACCTCTTACCATGTGTAGGCACGTGACTGAAGATCCAGCTTCACTGAGGTCCCTTCTTCAACCCGGACCACTATTGTGCTGCTTGGTGTTGAAATGGTGAATCTTATCGCATAGACCACCTATAAAAGAAAGTTACCCCTAGATCCGCAGAAATCTGCAAGATACAGCCACATTCTTGTCCACAAGAGGGAATTCCAGGGCAATGCAAATCATAAATTACATGTGCATAAAGAATCTTGTTGCACCTGAAGGATCTTCCGAAACCGTTCTTTCGGAGACAATCAAACAACCATCGTTCAAGCCGACGAGTATGAGAAGTTTGCCAGTCAAAGAAGCACCTGCGTCATGAACAATTTAAAACAGTGTCCTAGTGCAGTTTCATTCTTTTCTCAAGCCAGATCAATAGAACTGGTTTGAAAGGAAACATTGCATGTAAGGGCTGCAAAAGGAGGGAAATAAAAATTGTGCATGCCCACCAACTTCGACCGAAAGAATCCATCCTTCTGATAAAGGCTCGTGGGTTTCATTTTAGAATAAACTTAGGTGCTTACCAGTCGCAAGGCCAAGGTACGCAGATTTATCTTCATTACTGATATCTTATTCTTGAGAAACCTATTTTCAAAAGCACAGTTGACAAAAATATGCTGCCATCAGATTTCTAATTCTCTGGACACAAGTAGTAGCTTCATTATCTCCTACTCGTTACTTCGCGAACTTAGTAAATCCAAGCACAGAAGAGCAATCTAAAAATCATTTCCTAAAGTAGATGCCCAATTACCAATGAAACAATTCTAACCATCTTTCAACGTGTAATAGTGCTCGTGCAAGGGAAGCTATTCCAGACTGCATCAAAGAAAGTCCAGATGAACATGAGATGATCATTTGCCTCAGTATAATCTTCACCATTAGCAAATGCAGAATTTCAATCACAATACATTTGAGTATCACTTTTTTCAAGGATCATATAACTTGCCAAGTCAAAGCGTTCTTTACAGGATACACGTTAGGTTCCTCCACTCCAAGATCTACATTAGGACAGTTTAATTGTTTATAGAAAACATGATCAAGAAGAGAGAAGACAAACAGTATGAAAGATTCCTGATATTGAAGTCTAACCTCATCCAGCAGCTTCTTCTTTGATCCCTTTAACAGAACTGGCATTCACCTCAACCCAACTAGAACCTGGAGCTTTCTTTAAACCCCTCCTTTTCATGGATAACCACAATTCAGCAGCATCAGTCCAACTACTAGATAAGGAAGACATGCTTGCAGCAAGCACATAGTTTGCGCCAGCGTCAGGTTCTAGTTTAATAAGAAGTTTCATCAGGTCATCATCTAACTTAACAAAATGGCCATGGTTTCTGCAAGCACCAATGAAGCTCCTCAGAATTATTGAGTTGGGCTCCATTGGCATCATCTCGATAATTCTATGAGCTTCGTCAATCAAGCCAGCTCTTCCAAGCAAATCCACCATGCATCCATAATGCTCCATTGTAGGCCTGATACCATATACTTCCTCCATCATTTGAAAATATCTCCGACCTTCATCAACCAGACCCAAGTGGCCACAAGCTGACAAGATTCCAGAAAACAACATGCTATCTGGTTTTGGCCCAGCTTGTTCCATCTGGTTGAACAGAAAAATAACATCTTCTCCCCTCCCATGGTCTGCTAGGCAAGAAACCATTATTGTCCAAGACTGCAAATTCGTATCATCCATTGACCAGAAGATTTGGAGAGCCTTCACAATGTGACCACTCTTGGAATACATCTCAAGAAGAGCTGTTCCGAGGGCTGCGTCCAGACACATACAATTCCGGATGATGTACGAATGGATGGACTCCCCTGCTCGGAGATTGACCAGATGAGAACAGGCAGAGAGCAGGCTCACGAAAGTAACAGAGTTAGGTTTTCCATTCGCCAGTCTCATGCGTCGGAAAATCTCAAAAGCATCCAAAGGAAAGCGGCTGGAAAAATCAAATATGAGTACTTAGCTATGTTTCGATCAGAACCATAACGTGGACCGCAACTATATCACAAACCAAGAAAATTAACAAGAACAAAAGCAGACTAGAAACAGACAATGTAGACCATCCACAAAATAGGTCATAGTTTTCGACGATATGAAGCATGCAAAGAAGAACAGTGGCACACAATGCCCAAAAAATCAGAAGGCCCTGACCCCCGCTGCATAAGCAGAAAATGTAGGCTAATCCATCCCCACAAGGTGTTTGAGCTCGCACTCACAAGTATGATCAGAGATCGCCGAGAACGTACCAAGCAACATATCCCGCAATCATAGAGCTCCAAGAGGCAATGTCCCTAGTGCGCATTTCATCGAATACCTGCCTCGCGAATCCAATCTCACCGCAAGCAGCATACATACGAACGAGGGTGTTCCCCACATACGAGTCCGATCCAAGACCCACTTTCAGAGCCAAGGAATGCACTCCCCTGCCTTCTCCAATCCTGCCACACTTGCCGCAAGCCTTAACGACAAAAGGGTACGTGAATTTGTCGGGCTCAATCCCGGTTCTTCGCATTCGAGAGAAGAGCTCAACCGCTCGCACCGGGCTCGAGTTCTTGGCACACGATCTCACGATCGAGTTCCAACCGAAACGCGAAGGAGCGTGGGACAAGTGGTCGAGAGCCGACGCGGCGAGCGGGAGAGAGATCGAGCACGCGTGGTGGATGAACCGAGAGGCCAAGTGCGAGTCGCGGCAGAGGGCGGTCTTGAGGAGCAGAGAGAGGAGCTGCAGGAGGTGGATGGTGGTTCTCGAACGTCGGAGGAAGGCGGCGATTTGGCCGGAATTCATCACATAAATCGAGCTAATGAATGAAATCCGCAGCCGTGAATTATCTGGTGTCCAATTCCCCAGTACTCCTCAAGAACGACTTTTGCTAACTCGAGTAAGGAGCAAATAGATAAAAATTCAATTTTTTTCTCAATGCTTTGTTACTACTTGAAATCTTGGGTCACCATCCTCATGCGAAGACATTTAGATAGGATCTTCTTAGTAAGCTTCCTCAACTCATAATTATATCTAATGGGTTTCGGTTCAACGGACAATTCAAAGAGTTAGTGGATACTAAGGGCGTGTTTGGTAATCAATCTGTTCCCGAAAATAATTTCTGTTCAGAAATGATTTTTTTATTCTGTTCCCGGAAATAATTTATCAGCATTTGAAAGCGTTTGGTAACGGCCCAAAATAGATTTCTATTTCTGAAATAGAAAAAGAACAGAAATGCGTTTGTTAACTACACAAAATTTCTTTTTATTAATAATATTTTAATAATATATTAAATATTTTAATATTTTTTTCTTTTTTTTCTTTTCTTTTTTTCTTCTTCTCCTTCCTTGCCTATGGCCGGTGAGGGTGAAGGCTAGACACTCGCGGCCTGCGCTAGACCCTCGCGGCCTTGGCAAGGGTTGGACCTTCGCCGCTGCCCTTGTCAGATCCGACAAGGGCGGCCCTCGCCGACTCCGGTGAGGGTTGGAAGAGGTCGGCGAGGGCCGCCCTCACCCTCACCGGCCTTAGCCTGTGGCCGGTGACCATAGGCAAGGAAGGAGAAGAAGAACCAGCCAGGAAAGAAAAAAAAAATTTCTCTTCTATTTCTGATTCTTGTTCTCAGAATCAAGAATCAACTTTTTTTTTTTTTTGATTATGTTCCAGAATTGATTTTGGGAATAAATTTGTGCTTGGGAACAAAAAATTTACCAAACGGATTTCTGTTCCTTTTTTGTTCCCGGGAACAAAAGAATCAAATCAGGCACTATTTGGCCGGTTACCAAACAGGCTCGAAGAGACTCTGTGTCATTCAGCTAGAAGATCTTGACCAATTCTCCCGAATCTCTTGACTTCTTGTGTTGAGACACGTTGAGGGTTCCTCCGGAAGTGTTTACACCCATCGTAAACAAATGAGGAATTTTTCATCTATTTGCCTTTCAAAAAAAATAAAGATATAAATCCTACCAAAGCAAGTCACTTGGAAATGAATCCCAAAAATGTCTAACTTGCCTAGAAGGAGTAAGGGTGAGCGGTTCCCGGTCCAGTCCGGTTCCAAGGTGAAACCGGGAACCGAACCGAGAGAACCGGTTCCCAATTTTAGGAACCGCAGACCGGACCGGTTGGTTCTAGGACCGGACGACGGACCTGGCCCTGGTCCTGCTCGGTCCGTCCAATGGAACCGGTTACTTAGAGTTTAGGGTTTTTTTGGTCAAACACTTAAGGTTTGGTTCATATTTTACTAATTTTTGTCAATAAATTTATGTCAATGAAGTTCACTTAGGGTTTAATTCACATTTTACTATTTTTTATCAATGAATTTATGATAATGAAGTTCACTTAGAGTTTAGTTCACATTTTATTAATTTTTTTAAAGAAAAAAATAACAAAAATATATATTAAATAGTCGGTCCGGTCCGGTCGGTCCGGTCCTGTAACGACCCGGTCCGACGAGGGCGGGGAGTGGTCGCCGAGGCCAGAGGGCCTGGACAAGGAGCGGCTCCTGGCAGGCTTCTAGGATGGCAAGGGGGGGCATCTCTCTGTCCCACATCGCTTAGGAGGGAGTCTTGGGGTTGCTTATAAGGCCTGGGTGGCTTATCCTGTGTAACGCGTTTTAAAGTCGTGAGGGTCAGTGGGTCCAAAGCGGACAATATTACACAGTGTAGACCCGGGGTGTTACGGGTGGTATCGGAGCCGACTCCCGGCCGCGTGTGGGGCCACGGCGAGGGCCCGTTGCTTGAAGGAGGGGAGAATGTAACGACCCGGTCCGACGAGGCGGGGAGTGGTTGCCGCGAGATCGGAAGGGTGCGGACAAGGAGGGCTCTGGCGGGGCTTTCAGGATGGCGTAGGGGGGGGCATCTCTCTGTCCCACATCGCTTAGGGGGGAGTCCTGGGGTTGCTTATAAGGCCTGGGTGGCTTATCCTATGTAACGCGTTTTAAAGCCGTGAGGGTCAGTGGGCCCAAAGCGGACAATATTACACAGTGTAGACCCGGGGTGTTACAGGTCCGGTCCGGTCCGGTCCGGTTCCCCCTTGGAACCGGGAACCGGATAGCCCGGAAACCGGTTCCGCTTTTAGGAACTGGGAACCGGACCGATAGTCCCGAGAACCGGACCAAACTCGTCGATCCAGTCCGGTCCGATCCGGTCCGGTCCCGGTTTGGGCGGTCCAAGTTGCTCACCCCTAAGAAGGAGTGTGAAGAATTAGTCCAGCAAGGACTAAGGGGGCGTTTGGCAAGTTGCCAAATAATAAAAATTTCTGTTCTTTTGTTTCCAGAATCAGTTTGGGAACAGAAATCCATTTGTTAAAATTTTTGTGCCCGGGCACAAATTTGCAAAAGTTGTTCTCAGAATCAGTTTTGGAACAGAATCAAGAAGCAAGAAAAAGTAGCTTATTGATTCTTGAACAATTTTTCCATTTCTGATTCTTCTTGATTTTCTTCTTCCTTTTTGGTTTGTTGTTCTTCTTCTTCCCGGTTTGCCGCCCGCGAGGCGGCGGTGAGGGCCGCGACGCCCTCGCAGGCCCTGGCCTGTGGCCGATCGCCGGCACCGGCGACCGGCCATGGCCAAGGAAGGGAAGGAAAAAAAAGAAAAAAAAAAGGAAAAAAGAAAGAAAGAAATATTTAAAAATTCAAAATATTATTAAATAAAAAGAAATTTTGTGTAGTTACCAAACGTATTTCTGTTCTTTTTCTATTATAAGAATATAAATTTTGGACAGTTACCAAACGCTTTCGAATGCTTAGAAATTGTTCTCGGGCACAAAATAAAAAAAATCATTTCTGAGCAGAATCAGTTCCTAGGCACAAAATCGTTGCCATGCGCACCCTAATTGAGCCAACGGATTCCAATGGGCCAGTGAAACTCATTGTTAATAAATCAGCTGAGCACACAAGAGGCAAGAAAAGATTGGTAATCAACTACCAATCTCTTAATCAGTTTCTCTATTGACAAATTTTCATTGCACAATAAAAAGACTTTATTTTTTGGTCTTCCTCATGCCAAGATCTACTCAAAACTTGATTTTAAAGGCAGGAATTTGGCAGCTTGGGATCCATCCGAAAGTTAGACACAAAACAGGATTTTGCATTCCCAACAAGCATTTTTAGTGGAAAGTTATTCCTTTTGGCCTCAAACATCACCTTCATTATTCCAAAAGGCCATGTGTAAGATATTTCATCCAATCAGCGCTAACTTCCAAGTATACATTGATGATAACCTCCTGTACATTCCTGATGAAAAATCTCGTTGTATACTGCTCAAGCAATGTGCTGACTTGGTTAAGCAATACGACATCATGCTGTCACAAAAAAAGATGATATTTGTCCAGAAAGAGATAGAACCTTGGGCATGCATTTGAAAGATGGAGCATTTTATTAAAGTGACCGTTTTGTAAAAGAACATCTCAAGTTCCCCTTTGAAAATCTTTCCCATAAGCAAATTCTTCTTGGTATTGTGAACTATCTTAGGGATTTTGTCCCCAATACTTCAAAGTTCATGCACCTTTTACAAAAGATGTTGAAAAATGAACTACCACAATAGGGAGAAACTCAAATTAGGGCTATCAAGTCCTTAAAAGAAAAACTGTAGATACTGCTCTCGTTACAAGTTACTTCTGATGGTAACCGTATCTTTCAAACCGATGCTAGTGACAAGTATTGGGCGGTAGCCCTTTTTGAAGAAGAAAATGGGAAAAGAAGAATCATTGTACACATGGAAGATTCTCTCGGGCTGGGATGCACTACCATTCTACATTCAATGATATTTTGATAGTTAAAGTATGGAATAAAAAAGTTTAAATTTGACTTATTAGCCATCATTTCCTAGTGTAAATGGACATGTCATCTTTTCCTCAAATGCTTGAGTTTAAACGGAAGATGATGCCACGTCCACAACTCTTACACTGGGCAAAATGGTTTTTCGAAATATTCTTTCGATACGAAGCATATCAAAGGCGAGAAAAATGGTCCTGCAAACTTCCTCTCTAGATCTAGTGAACCCACATCGTCTATTTCTATGATCTGTGGAACAATATCATCTTCAGCATCATCATAAGACATTCATATGTTACGAGTTATTATGAGTTATTTTATTATTATTTACTATCATGTGTGGGAATGTCTACCACATTACTATATACCCTCATTATTAGTATAAATAAGAGAGCATGCTAACCTAGAGGGTTAGACAATTCATTCATCCCCTTCTCTTCTTTTCTTCTTCTTCAAACGTGGTATCAGAGCCAACCCTAGCCGTCGCCCCAACCTAAATCCTAACCCTAGCCAGCGCCACCATCACCACCACCATCACCGTCACAATCTGCTCTCTCTCTCTCTCTCTCTCTCTCTCTCTCTCTCTCTCTCTGCTTCTCTTTTTGTCGGTCATTCTCTTCTTCCAGATCTGATCTAGTTCTGATCAAGGATCTATGAAACGGTGGAGCTTGTGATCTCTTTCTTTAATCTAATTTTCTGATTAATCTGGTGTGACTAGATTAAGTACGCATCATTATGTCAAGTGATTCAGAGACTCCGATAGATGCTGCTGTTGAATCCGGTGAGACTGGATTAGCCATGAATAGATCTGGTGCGACTGGATCTGATGTGATGCGGTCACAAGCTCCGACCTTTATATCTACTTCGTCTAAGCTCGTTGAACGTGTTTTGACGGGACAGTCTACATACACACTTTGGAAGAAGAATGTTTTCAAGAATTTGCACGGACAGCGGTTATCTCATCATCTTACTCAGCCTCCCCCGAGCAGGGATGACCCGACTTATGATGAATGGTACACTATTGATTGTCATATTTATAGTCAACTATTGAATGCTATGGATATTTCTGTTCAGACCGTTGTTAGCAATACTGATACTGTTAAGGAGTTA